AATATTTTTTAAATTTTAATTAATAATTAATAAAATTTATCATATTTTATCTATAATACTTTTAAAAAATAAACAACAAACACCAAAAACAACTTTCAGTTACAGTTATAATATAATACAATCACAACTAAGTACAACCACAGTACTTTATAGTAATCATAAACGCACTTTAAGTTTATTACAGAATTTAGGACAATGTCTAATACCCAGTTGTTCATAAAAATTGTCCTTTCAGTTTTTTTCCTTGGCCTCTCTTCAGTCCTGTTGGCGTAATAATCACCACACCTAGGGTTGTTGATGCCGTTTAAACATTGCACCGAGTCTCGAGAGTGACTTGAGGCCAATTTAGGGACCACCGAATAATGTCACCAAAGCGTGCACGATCCGGAATACCTAAACGGCAACATCTCAACACTCAATTTGGTAGGAGGAGTGTGAATGCAATGACCTTAAGGCCGATGCTTTTTTCCAAATTCATTTGTATTCTTTTTTCCTCTTTTCTTTTACTGACTCTCAATATCTGAAAGTCATATTAAGTTTAAAGTTGAGCTGCAATGGATCCTACAAAGGAAAACTTTTTTCTATCTATTTTTTCATTTATAAGACTCAAATTTGAAATTATATTTAAAAAAGATAAAACTCCTTCATTGTTTATATTTGCACTCCATTTTAATTTAACTTAACACAATTTTATTTCGTACCTCATACTCATGTTTATGTAGTATATAAATAATAATTTAAATTTTTTATGTAATTTTTTCAATAATTTTATTTTAAACGTTAAAAAGAGTTTGGGTTTCTATAATTTGTAATTTAAATGTATAAATGAAGGATGTATTTATTATTTTTTTATTACTAATTTATATTAAAAATTATGAAAATAAACTTTATTTTCAACACCAACATAAAATTAAAAGTTCAGGATTAATTTAATTAGATAATTGATAAAACCTAAGTTAACTTCTTTTTTTTATGCAAATCAATGATGAAAAGGTATTATAAGTATACCCTTAACCTATGGTTAAGTTAGAAAATTCCAAAAGATTATACTGATACTACTTTATAAGCTATATATATATAGAGATATTTACTCACACATCACACTTATACAAAATCTCAACTATTCATCTTTTCAGTTTTAGTAATTGAATTATTCACATTTATTAAAAATAATTATCTTTTGAGTAATTATTGGTATATTTTTCGGTTCAACATAATTATCAATACTCATCAATTTAGCCATTAAATTTTGAAAGTAAAATTTTTTCTTCTTTGAATTTAAATTTAAAAATAATAATTTCTTAATAAGTATATTGTAAAATGTATTAAATCAAAGGATATATCAATCATTATCCTTATCTTTTTAACTTAAAAAGTTATAATAAATTTCAATTATTTAAAATAAAGAAATAAATAATTAAAATTTTATATAATATAATGTATAAAATCTGTACGTAAATAAATCTTTTTCATTGCAGGGTCTCTCTTCTTCTTCTTCTTCTTCTTTGCGTGCTTACTTTCATCAGTTTTGACATTGCTGAATCTGCTTACTGCTACGACACTGGGAACTTCACTGCAAACAGCACGTATGGTAGGAACCGCGACCTCGTTCTCTCTTCTCTAGCCTCTAATACCTCAGAAAATGGTGGTTTTTACAATACCACCGTTGGTGAAGATCCCAACAAAGTATATGCTCTAGCGCTTTGCAGGGGAGACCAATCTGCAAAGGATTGTTCTAGTTGTATCGATTCAAGGGTCCAGGATCTCATCACCAACTGTCCAAACCAAAAAGAAGCAATTTCGTTGGGAGACTGTAGGATACACTATGCAAACCGCTCCTTTTTCGGAATTCGTGAGGAAACTCCGAGTTTTCCAATATTGTACAATGCGGCTGATCTCACTGTAAATATGACACAGTTTGATCAAATTTGGGAGAGTTTAATGGGTGGTTTAGTAACAACTGCTTCTGCTGGAACTTCTAGGCTTAAGTTTGACACAGGAGAAACAAAGTTAACACCATTTCAAACAATTTATGCCCTAATGCAATGCAATCCCGATTTATCTCAAAGCGATTGCGATTACTGTCTGAGCCAATCCGTACTTAGCTACCAAAGATGCTGCCGTGGGAAGCAAGGAGGTGTTGTTGAGAACCCAAGCTGTCTTTTCCGGTGGGAAATATATCCATTCTATAACTCTCCACCTCCTCCACCTAGCAGTCCCCCTCCCGTTTCTAGCAGTCCTCCTGTTTCAAATTCAAATAATACCAGAACCGCAAAAGGTAATTACATGTTTCCTTGGAGAAATGGATTTTATTCATATTGGGTAGAAGACAAAGTATGATTGTGGTTGCTTTATGTATAACATCAGAGGATGCATAAAAATCAGAATTTTATTGGGGATTTATTCTAAAGCATGTTAAGTAAATACAAACATTTTTTCTGGTTTTGCAGACAACAGGCGAGTTGGTACACAAACTGTTATAGTTGTTGTTGTTGTTGTTTCAACCACCGGTTTCATGGCAATTCTTGCCATCACTTGTTTCCTTCTCCGAAAGAGATGGAAGGCAAAGCAGGAAGTTAAGGGTGAGTGTTGTTTCATAGAAACAAGAAGAAAGCATATTGTGATTAATTAGGTTGTAGCTTTAGCCTTGGTAATACAAAATGATAGTTAATGATTGATCAATGAAGTATTTTTTTTCCCTTTGAAGGTGTGAATGGCAATGAAGGTGTGGATGACAATATTAGTGCTGAGTCCTTGCGATTTGACTTGGGCACAATAAGGGTTGCCACTGATAACTTTTCGAGCGACAACAAGCTAGGACAAGGTGGATTTGGTGTTGTTTATAAGGTAACTCCAGCTATTCTACCACGTGTTTACTCTTCCTCTGTGCTTACAATTTACAACCTAAGACAGTTTTTCTTTTGTTAACACTGTAGAGTAGAAAATTCTTCATTCTGTCATAATGTCTTTAGTCTAGTTTTTCTAATTCTTTGAAGAGACGATGAATTCCATTTGATATTTTTAATCTTATTATTTTCCTTAAATATTGTTTCAACTTTCAGGGAAAACTTAAAGATGGACGAGACATAGCAGTAAAGAGACTTTCTAAAATTTCTAAACAAGGAGAGATTGAAATTAAGAATGAAATCCTATTAATGGCAAGACTTCAGCATAGGAATTTGGTTAGGCTCCTAGGTTTTTGCTTGGAAATGAATGAAAGGCTTCTCATCTATGAGTTTGCTCCCAACTCAAGCCTTGATCACTTTATATTTCGTGCGTTCTCTCTCCTTTTCAGCTTAAGAATTAATACTTGTGTTTTTAATTATGATGCAAGAGCTGAACTTGCTTGAAATATTGTTTGTTAGAGGAATTGTGTATTAGTATCGTATGTCATCTGCGGTAGCAGTGTTCTTTCTATAATGTATTTAAATCCATTAATTTTGTGAATTTGCAGATCCTGTCAAATGTTTACTACTAGATTGGAACCAAAGATACAAAGTTATAGAGGGAATAGCTAGAGGGATTATGTACCTTTATGAAGATTCTCAATATCGAATCATCCATCGTGATTTAAAAGCTGCCAATATTCTATTAGATGCAGAAATGAATCCTAAAATTTCAGATTTTGGAATGGCAAGGTTATTTGTAGAGGATCAAACGCAAGCTAACTCAAGTAGAATTGTTGGAACATTGTAAGTATAAGAATCACCTTTCAGTTACAGTTTCTATGTAGTCCAAATCCTTGAATCCTAACTCTAGCTATTGCATCTAGTGGATATATGGCTCCAGAGTACGTGAGGAATGGGAATTTTTCAGTTAAGTCTGATGTTTATAGCTTTGGCGTACTAGTTCTTGAGATTATTAGTGGTCAAAAAATCTATCTCAGCAATGGAGAAGAAGGGGACAATCTTCTAGCTAATGTAAATTACACTCAACCTTAGCTCCATTTTGTTGTGTTTTAAGAGTCAAATAATCATGCCAAGAATCGAGAGACTTTATCTTAAGGCTAAACCAAATGGAGATTTTTCAATCTATGCAGGCATGGAAAAATTGGATGGAAGGGACTGCTCTGAATTTTATAGATCCCATCTTAAGGGATGGTTCGAGGAGCGAATTGTTGAGATGCATGCAGCTAGGCTTACTATGTGTTCAAGAAAATGTTGCTAGAAGGCCAACCATGGCCTCTGTTGTTCTCATGCTTAGTAGCAATTCTGTATCTCTTCAAGTGCCCTCAAAACCAGCGTTTCTTATGCACTCTATCATCGAGCTAGAGTCCATAGCATCTCAATCCAGAAGAAGATCCGCTGATTTCACAGTGAATGAGGCTACAATATCTGATTTTGATCCTCAATAGAGTTTTTGAATTGAGCTTTAAATTGATAGTGCTTATGTGAATCATCAACATTATCTAGACTTTGTACTATGTACCAGGTTTGTTTGTTTTAGAGAATTCTAGTTTGAGCAGATGGGTTCATCAATCGATCTCAGACATGATTCTTTGTACTAAAATAATCCTTAGAACTGCTAGCTAGTTTTAGATTCTCCATGATTTTACGTATCGAGTACCGCTAAATTAAAGGAAATTTGGCATCAGTGATTGCGACTTCCTCTGTTCTGATGATGATGGTACTTTTCCTTGTTATTTTGTTTTCCATTTTTGCTGTTGGCTCTGTTTGTCTTTTCCGTTGTAGAACCACTTTCACTGTACCTTGATCTTTAATGCTAACGAAATGTTACTTTTGTTAAGAGGTTTTTTTTGACACATTTCATGACTCATTCTGTATGCAAATTTAAGTAGTTTTCATAGGTAAATCTGCATGTAATTTTTTATTGGAATTCATGTCATTAGGTCGTAATCATATGTGTAATGAGATTGAAATGATTGACCAAATATAAAATCTTCCTTGATCAGCCAGTCCTGAGACCGAGAGGTCTTTACCTTGTCAAGGAGGTGGAAGAGCACAAAAATTCCAGCTACACTGGTAAGACGAGATTGTGCTGGGCTTTTACGCCACTAAGTCATGAAACTGGAAGATTATCATTGCCTTTTGAACTTCGAAATAAGATTCCTTTTTTCCCTTTCTCTTGTTCTCTCTTTTCCTTTTACCTCTTGTTTTTTTTTTTTTTTTTATTTGTTATTATTATTATTATTATTTTACCGGTTGGAATAAAGTAGATGAGAAAGAAAAAGAAGGAAAAAAGGGGGAAATTCAGCCATTGCATAT